AAAAAAAATAGTAAATCATCTTTGTAAAGTAAATAACAAAAAATAATGACACAATTATAAAATTGTATATGTACCTGAAAAGGCATTAAAAACCCATGGATGTTCAACTGAATATCGCACCCCTCATCTGGAGCACTTATACCATCGAGACAATGGTATAAACGCTGAAAGCTAAATGTGCCCCATGGAAATTTCCCGAACATGTCCGAATTTTCAACTAACGTCCAAAGCCAAAGTGGCACAGCGGACCTCGGGCCGGGTGCAAACAAGAAAAAGTGAACAATCAAGATCATGGCAGCCTTCAGCGCGTCATCGGGATTATTCTAAAAATGACCGTTCGTGAAATCCCTCAACAAATCACCTCCTATCACACTCTTTCCATCATAGTGGCGTCGATATATCCCATCAATGGCCGGTAAACTCTCATTATCCTCGGGGATAAATTCCGACCCACCAAATTTCAAGCCACTGATTTGGCAAAATTCGACTTTCCCGAATTTATAATTATTATCTCTAATTCGAAACCAACGCTCCTTCTCTCGAGCGTCACGCACAAAAACCTCTCGACCCAATAAGGCAAGTAGTAGTCTCCCACTGTAGTATGCTTGCCCATCAAACCTCAACAAATGTCCAAAACAAGACTCTTCAAACTCCCGAAGACGGCCACAATCACCTAATTGCTTCTTAATATAGCCTATTACTTTAGGCTTTGTCTGACAGTTAATTTTGCCGCTCCAAGTGCAAGCTTTGCCTCATCTCCAACTCCAACAATCCCCCTAACAATCATGAAACAATCAATATTATTTTAATTTTTTTTAAAAACACAACAAACACGGTTTCTTGACAACAAACTGGTTTCTTGCCAAGTTTCTTGTCAAGAAACTTGTTTCTTGCCAGTTTCTTCAGCAAGAAACTGGTTTCTTGCCAAGAAACGCCAACAAACTTCCGTTTTCTTCAACAAGAAACCGGCTTCTTGGCAAGGAAACCTGTTCTTGTTTCTTGACCAAGAAACCAGTTTCTTGTCAAGATAACAGTTTCTGGTCAAGAAACGAGTTCAGTTCAAGAAACCAATTTCCTTAGCTGTAACAAACTTCCAAAAATATGTGTTCTAAGCAAAAAATCATGAAGCCTTTGATTTGTTCATCAATTTACATCATACCTCATTAGTAGATGTCGTCGTTTCTGCCATGTTCGAATAAATTGAACAAGATCTACATCCAAATTACGAAGATCAAAAACTAAAAACAACAAAAAAAAAAAAACAAAACAATACAAAATTTGGATCTAAAGAGGGAGCTAGAGCTTTGTTAAATGCAAAAACAAACTTGAATAGGTTATTGTGTAAATGTTAAAAAGTGTGAAAAAACTGTAATTCATCAATAGATTACCATCTATTGTCTTAAAAGCAATAAAAAAAAATTGTTTCCAACAAACTCATAGTTTCTAAAATGAAATTAGACACACAATCGCTTGAATAAACACACATATTCCAACAAAAATTAGGTTTTCCGTCGGATAATAGCAGGAATAAACACTCATAAACACATACACAAACATAACCAAAGTACCGAATAAGAGGGGGAAAATGAAAATGAAAGAGGGGAAATACAATTACATAAACACATAGACAAGCATACCGTCACTCGCCGGAATATTATCCGAGAACAATTGTCGACAAGAGCAGCACTCGATGACCTGACCAATTGTCGACAAGAGCAGCACTCGACAAGAACAGCACTCGACAAGAACAATGAACTAAGCACAAAGCAACACCAAATACACCAACCACAAAGCAAATGCAAACAACAAATTGTTATTCAAACAACAAACATTACTTATCCTAAACATCAAAATCAAATAAACCAATTGAAGTTTAACCAATTCACAGAGATATTTATTGACAATGAACTAAGCACAAAGCAACACCGAATACACCAACCACAAAGCAAATGCAAACAACACATTGTTATTCAAACAACAAACATTACTTATCCTAAACAGCAAAATTGAACTCAAAATACAAATTTTAACTAAAAAGCCCTAAATCAGAACAAACCCTTTTCGGACGAAAAACCCTAACGGAAGAAAAATTCTAAATTTCAGGACAATGAGAGACAGAAAGTACCGTAAGGCTGGCGAGATTACAGAGGCCGAGAGTACTCGAGCTTCACAGAGAGAGACGACGAGAGAGAGAGAGAGAGAGAGTAATTGAGCGATACAGAGAGCCGACGAGAGAGAGTAGTCGAGCGATAGAGAGTAGTCGAGACGACAGGAGAGAGAGAGTATTTCTTTCCTTCACAGAGAGAGAAATCGGCCGGAGCTTTACAGAGGAGAAGACGGGCGGGGGTTCAAAACAAAAGGGGAAAATGAAGATGGTGAAAAAAAAGGGGGAAAAATGGTGAATAAATGAAAAATGAGAAAAAAAAAATGAAAAAAATGGTGTTTTACATAAAATGAGAAAAAGATGAAAAAAAATGGTGTTTAAGGGCAATTATGTCTTCTTACATGCCCAAATGGCTAGATTTCATTATTTTACAAAAGATGGCCATATTTCATTTTGTACTTTAAAAAAAGGCTAGAAAGCACCATTACCACAAAATTGTATGTATATGATGTTAGTAACAAAGACGTATTCTGTTTTTTAGTTAATTATTGTATATTTTGTTTAGAATATTGTTTATGGCTCGTTATATTTTTTGTTTCTATATTTTAGTTTGTGAATAAATGTTTAGTTTTTGTGTGTATAAGAATATTAATTTATAAACTTTAACAAACTGAAAATTAACCGCATATAAATTTACAGTATATATTCTTGTATAATAAACTGTAAATAAACTATATATGAATCTATGTTGTTATTCTTGTTTTAGATTATGTAAATTTACAGTTATATATTCTCGTATAATAAACTTAAAATAAACTTTATATAAATCTACGTTGTCATGTATTGGTTTATGTAAATTTACAGTATATATTCTTGAATAATAAGCTGAAAATAAACTATATATAAATCTATGTTGTTATTCTTGTATTGGTTTATGTAAATTTACAGTATATATTCTTGAATAATAATCTGAAAATAAACTATATATAAGCTATGTTGTTATTCTTGTATTGTTTATATAAATTTTATAATTTTATTCATATATTGGTTTATAAACCCACAATAAATTAAAAATGAGCTAGATAAATATTTACATTAAATATTTTTGGTTACAAGAATATTATACAAGAGAGCTACATGTGGGGTATATGTTTTTTAAGTAAACTTCTTATAAAACATAACGAGTGTGTAACACCCCACTTTGATTTTAAAGAAATTCTGGACTTTTCAAAAATCAGTATAAAATTTTCGAACTCATTTTCGAAATCATGGGCGCTATACAACATTATACATCAACCAAGTCGTATTTGGTTGTTCACATGGTTTTCATTAACCTTTTAAAATTCAACTCCACATGATTATTAGCTAAACCACATAGCATGCATAATCGAAGAAACATGATAATCCATAAATAACTCTCATACGAATATCAAACAAAGGGTCCAAAATCCCGACACGGACTATTTTTGATAACGTTTCAACATGTCTCAAAGACCACACTTTATTCATAAAGAAAGCGGAAACATAAACATCATAACCATGACCAACCCACTCGTCTTTTCCCCGTCATCCGGCACCTGCTTAACCTGCATCCGTGAAGAGCAGGTGGGAGTGAGCACAAGATAAAAGTAGTGCTCACTACTATGCACATAAATAACACATGTCAATGGTATGGTCGCAACATGAATATAAGATAATCACACCATGTCTCATCTCCTATCAAAATCACAACAACCACATTACTCCTGTGCACATCTATCGCTAGCCGCAGAACGGGGATTCATTACCCGAAGGCGGGAGTACATGACACGCTACGGACACGGTCTTCCATATGGGCTTACGTACCTCGCAAGGGCACGACCATATCAGGACTTAAGGAGACTTGCCTCACAAGGGCAACCGTATTACATCGACGGGACAACCGTACCGACGGCCGTAATAGCTCACATCGATAGGCTACATATTTCATATTCATACATAGATCATACCCATAAGAAATAAACATTCATCATTCAAGGC